CACACACATTTAGATTATTAAAACTTTAAATCTTGGATATTGCTTACACTTTATTAAATTTCAAAGTCTTTACAATTTTTTTATACATCTTTATAATTTTGACTTATCAATATCTTTTTATCTTATCTGTAATAGAAACTAAAGAAATTAAATTGTGTTTTTAGAAATTTAGTTTAAGTTGACTTAAGTGCATCAGCATTAACAAGTTCTAAGGAAAATCACACTTAATAAAATTCTCATTAATGTATAATTAATCAAAGAGTCTTTTAGTAGTGCGAAAGCGAGGACATGAATTCTGCTGCATTCCCTCTATTGTGGTCAAAAAGTAAGTTAATTAGATGAGCGTCCCCAAATTATATAATGCTTTTTAGCAGCGGACTAGCGTGCCAGTTGCTAGTAAATGCGCGTGATCCAGTCTTGCGCGATAATATCGCTGGTATAACATGCGTGACTTACCGTTACCTCCTAGAAAGCTTGACTCAAGCTCGCACCGGTATTAATTTACCGTATTCCAAACCGATGCCCGTCGAAGGTTTAACGCCGGAAATAAAGTCGTGTTAGCGATAACATTGTACAACGTATTTTTATATTAAGATTTTTATCTGAGATATCATGCGTAGTGAGAAATAACCGTGAAAGTGAACAAAAAGGTGATAGAAGAAAGATCTTTTTTAAATCGGCGATGATTCACGCCAAAGGATATTGCACGTAATATGAGATACTGCAGTCGCATTGGACCGAAACGCGATATTTTCTGCACGATGTCGATAGTGGGGCAAAAGAAATGCCTTGTTTATGTCAACGACGATTCACGCGAAAGAATGCTGCGCGAGAGGTGTGGTACTGCTATCGAATTGGTCAAAGACGCGACATTTTCTAAACAACGCTAATAGTGGGGCAAAGGAATGCCTTGTTTAGATCAACGACGATTCACGCGGAAGAATACTGCGCGAGAGGTGTGGTACTGCAATCGAATTGGTCAAAGACGCGACATTTTCTAGACAACGTCGATAGTGGGGCAAAGAAATGCCTTGTTTAGATCGACGACGATTCACGCGGAAGAATACTGCGCGAGAGGTGTGGTATTACAATCGGAATGGTTATTTTCTTCATTAGTGAGATAGAAGGTGGTTATTTAGGTTTAGAAATGAAAGAATAATGAAAGAATAATAAAAGGATTTGAAAGAGAGAATCACTACTTTCTTATATGTATCTTTTTATTGTTATCTTTTTTTAGAAGTATTTTTAATAGATAAAATATACTGTATTGACATAAACTATATTATTACTTATATAAATTAGGAATTAAATATAAATTATAAAAATTTGATGACTTGAAAATTAATTTTTCAAAAAGAGTTTAATTGCATTATATTAATAGAACATTAATAATAAATTCAGAGTCGATTTTTTTAAAGATGTAGCATGGTATTAAAAAAATTGTAGTCTACATTTTTGTACAAAGATATTATCTTATTTGTGTAATAAATTTTCTTTATTTTTATATGAGCAATTTTGTTAATTCTATTTGTATCGTGATTTTCACCATATTATGTGTATGTATATTTTTATAAATAAAATAATTCTGAGATTAATTACAACATAAATCGAGGTAGCTCAATAATTTATGAGAATTAATTTATATGTTTTCTGCGATACAGAAAGTCAGATTTACATTTTTCTGCAGTGTCTGTAGTTGAATTTGTTAGTCTGCAGCGATGCTGTGCATCTTTTAATAACTTAATTCCCGTCCTTGCCAACAAAACGGAGTTTCTCTCGGTCTACCTGAGAAAAATGAGCCGACATCTTTCCATTTTTCTCTGAGTTCCTCGCGGGGCAATTCGTATATCTCTTCCTGGGAACTGTCGAAAGTTTTGCGATTGCGACTTTCGTCCAAACCTACTATTTTCATCCAAGTTTTGCACAATGACGACCGGCGCCGTTCCTTTTCTCGGTCGTGTTCTGCACAATTGCGAGGATGCGTGGAATTCTCTTTAGCGCGTTCACGAAGCAGTGAAAAGTGGAATTCAATATAAGAGATCGAAGTTACAGGATTGTATTGGAAGTTCGTTGTATTGTTCAAAACACGCTCTACGAGCTTATAGTTATTGCATAAAAAATGTATGGAAAATAGACAAATTTGAGCAGGAATTTTTGATTAATTTGAAAAAAATATATTTTTTCTCCAGTAAAAAGTAAAATTTCTTTAATAATATGTAAATAAAAAAAATTATTTGCAAATTAAAATGTTATATATTTTTTCCGACTACAAATACAGATAAAATCAAGATTAAATAATGATTTTTGGTGTGAAAAATTTATGACTTTTATTATTACATTAATAATTTTAAACTAAGTTAAAGAATTTTTTTTTGGCGATTTATCTTTGGCAAAATGCCAAAATATCAAGATTTTAATTATATGCAAATAAACAAAAAGTTAAATGTTTTGGAATTAAGATTTTCGAGATATTTTCTGATTAAAATTGAATATTAGATTGAAATAGACATAAGCCGAGATATGATTTTACTAATAATTTTAGAATTTAATTAAAATAAAGAAGGAAAGCTTTTAAGAAATTAGGATTTTATTTTTTCTCATAGCCAATTCAGGGATTAAAGTAAGAATTGGACGGACTTTCAGTACTATTAGTAAATGTGCCATGAGAATGTGCCGTAGATCGTATCGTACCATCGGCGACGCATTGTCCGCATGCCTTTAACTACGACTTTAGCTACGACGTCTAACTACGTAACGTGCAATAATCTATTCCGCTAGGCGTGTATTTTTGAGTTTACGTTGTCATGACGACCACCGGTAAATCGCGCGCGCATACGATAACGACGATGACGACGGCGACGACGACGACGACGTCGACGTCAACGACGGCGAGAAGAGGCGGTCGTTAGAGGCGCACGATATCACGATATCGTTTACAGAGCTGTCCAGTGGCCTATTTCATGAACTCTATGGGCCACCAACTGACGATTAAGCGATTAAGCGATTAAGCTGAGGATTAAGCACATCAATGCACTGTAACGATTGTTTGTCAAAAAAAAAGAAAAAATTGACACACACATAATGTGATAAGTCGGACGTATTATACATATGCAAGGTGTTTCTTTTATCGCGAGTCCTGAATGTCGCATGCGTTTTTAATGGCGCGAATATAAGAGAGAAATTATTCTTTTCGAAAGGACGAGTCTTATCTTGATAAGAACTTTTTTCGCAAAGCCGCAATGTTCGGAATTTCAAAGGCATTGAAGATATACCGCGATAAAATTGTGCAAGCCTTTTTTTCTTGAATAAATAAATTTCTCTCGTTATTTTGCGTATTAAAGTAAGGCGAAATGTAAATACTTTACGAGCTACTCTATTCTGACATATTGACTTCTGACACTGAAATAAAATATGAAATGTCATAAAGTATTCAGTTTCCATTATCTTACCTTAATTCTTGTATACGCGGAATAACGAATTCAGGAACGGAATGCGAATTCTGTTTTTCGCATCAATAGTAATTTGCAGCATGCAGTGTACAATTGCATTTTTTTTTCAAGTAGAATCCTACAAATGATTCTTTTTGCACGAATCGATTTTTTTGAGCTGTGAATAAATTATTATAAGAAGAAAGATTAATAGCTATGAGAATGCAATTTCTATGATAATAAAAGACTCACGGTCAAGTACAATGTCTTTTTTACGAACGTGTACAAAGTATTAAGTTAAGATAATGGAAAACTGGATACTTGCGATATTTCTCATTATGATAAGGGGAAAACTTTTTATCACGTTAAAATGAAAATGTGAGGAAACTTCGCATTTTTCACACGAATAAATTTACGGTATGGCGTCTTACATATGTAAAAGTACGAAATAACAATTTGTGTCTCGTGGAAGGAAATTGTCACCATTGTGTCGACGAGTTTGTCGGATTCTATCTGCCGGTGCAAAGTTTTGTAAAATAGAAACACGTGAAAATTGAAAAAAATGTTTCGTAAGCAGCATATTTCATAAGCATCAACGTGAGCGATGTGTATCATAAGCTCTACATCTTTCTTATAAAATTCACGGCAGTGTCCCTGATATTTGTTGCTTGTGATTGTGAAATTGGCATTTATTATATGATTTTTATTTATTTTATTATTTATCAGTAAAAACATTTTAATTAAGAGAACTTTTTGAAACACGCATGAGGACGATTTTAATTTATCAAAAATCCGAAGAGAGTTTTGATTAAAAATGTAATATAAAAAAATTGAGCATTCAAACGTAATCGTAAACATGCATTATCATCGTATGAACGTGACGTCATGCGATCTATTTAGAAGATCATAGAACAACGACAAAGATATTTAACGTGAGCAAGTATCGTTCTGCGTTTCGCGCGTTTTTCTTCGCTCGAAGTGAATTCCGCACGCAACAAATCTCGGAATTATCGAATCAAGAGGAGGACAATTGGCGTGGAATATTATTTTAGCTTATACGATCGCAACTACGTCTTCCGACATTCGCGTCGATTCTTTACATCGCAGCCGTGATTCTTTATTCGAAACCGCGCGTCGGCTCTTTTCTCAAATTTCTTTAATCATATTTCTTATATCATATTTCGCTAGTGATCAAAGTGTTGGGAGGTATTTCGGACGATCGTCGCGCGTTATTTATTTGTTAGATATTTCATTTCATGTTTCTCACGATTTCTTCACGTAAATCGTCGGTTTCTAGGAAATTCGCCTTCCAGGAAACATCACGGTCATTGAAGCGTAAAGTAAACAAAATTCCACCGGTCTAGCGCGTTTATAAATAAGATAAACATAACAGCTAGGCCCATAATAACACAATTTGATTGGTGGATCTAAACTCTAACGTTAGGGAGTTATAGGAAATTTTTGTCCAAGAGGATATAATAATTGTATTTTGTGAACGCGGCCGCCGATCGTGACGTCACGAGAGATCTATTTCGCAGTCGCGCTTAGTTCAGTTGATAGTACGTAGGGCGACGGTGAGAGTGTCGGACGTTAGCGAGTATCGTCCTGCGTTTCGCGCTTTTTTTTGTTCAAAGTGAGTTCCGCGTGCAATAAATACCTGTATTATCGAAATTAGACCGCGAGTGATCGTCGTGGAGTATTATTTGGTGCGCACGATCGCGATTATGTGAGTTTTTCGGCGTTTGAAAAGCCAATCGTTTTTGCTCCGTCATGTCGGACATTGTATGTTTCGTTAGCATCGGTATGAAATTGTCTACGTCTTTCAAACTTTTTAATCGCGCGAAGTTAATAGTGGCGACGAGCAATTGTCGCGGAAAGTAAGTGAGTTACTTTATATAGTCGCGGTCCGCGAATTTAACCTTACTTTTCGGTATTCGTAAAGTGAATGTGTGTTAATCGCGATTCGTGTCGTTCGAAATCGCGTTATCATTGACTCCGTCTGTCAAAGTATCGAATTGTCGGTTGACGCAATAAAGCAAAAGACGATAAATTAACTCTTTGAATAATATTTATGTTCAGTATTTTTTAATCCGGAATGCTATTCTGTCGAATATATATTGAAAGTGCGCGTTCGGGAGTGTCTAATTTTATCGCATCGTAAATAATAATAAATACAATGTAAATTTAGTGTTGGGAATAATAACAAGTGATGGATTATATCGCTGAAAAGTTGATAGGTGAGTAAGTTTTAGAGTTATATTACGGATTACATCAGTGGATATTTTTTCATATAAGCTAGGTTAGGTTAATTTGATCATAGAGAATGATCAATTTCAGAAAGTAGCCAATAGCATTTATAATTATCTATTTATTTCTATCTTTTAATATCAATTATAACATTCGCATTAATTGTGAGCACCGCTAAACAAGTTATTTTCTTTTTTATCACAATTTCGTTCAATATTCAATAACACTCAAGTGTACAAACGGCGTATCGTTAAATCAGATTTTTATAAAAATTGTTTCTTTCTAATTATACGTATAACTAAATAGATTTGGTATATAATTTTTATTCACAATTGCCGCTGTGAAATTTTTAATTGCTTTGCAAATTACTTAATTTTTTATGCACATTTAATTACAGCAATTTTTTTTTTTTTTACAGATTTCTACCAAATGGTTTCACCAGATTTCTCAGCTGCAGTGTTGACCAGATTCTTCAGCTGCGATGCTGTCCAGACTCTTCGGCTGTGCTCTACAACGGTGAGTCTTTATATGCAATACAATGATTTGTTTCGAAGAAGTGGAGAGGCAAAATTGTTGTTTAGAGGAGATTATCCCGCGGCAGACGAGTTAATCCGTTTGCAGAAGGACGAGCGAAGCACGCGATAAAGCGAATATTTGCGGCTGATTCCATCTTTCGAGGTCCGAGAAATTCCGTCGGGAAATCTTCCGTTACGCCACGGCATCGTGGGTCTCGTCGGAGGTATTATTTATGGCGTACTTCGTAATCGCATTCGGCGTGTGCACGCGGGTTTATGTAGTGGCCTCGCATGCGCTCGTAATTACTCAGTCGTATATTAATTTTGCGGAATTACATCGGCGTCGGTGAAACGAAAGTGCGCGCTCATTACAAAAACGCTGATAAAATGTAATTATTTCGAAACGATTGCGGTAATTTTGCGATATCAAATTATCTTGAGCTTTTAAAGCGTTTACGCAGAAATTACTTTAGTCAACTGTGAATAAGTAATTAACAATTCAGCATAATGCAGCATTGGCGGACAACGATGATGCTGTTAATTCCTACGGAATCGAGAAAAATATATTGCGTTCTATTTTTGAGAAATTGATTATTGGAAATAAGATCTGGAATTGTGAGGCGCGTACACACCGGAATCGATTTCCTCTTTTCCGACCGTGTACTACGCCCTGGCTATTTGTTGAAATCGATATGGCAATAATGCTTCCGATCGATCCGCACGAGGAACGTAGGGAATAATATTGTTGCAGACTCCGGTGCTTAAATTAAGGATGGCAATCGTTAGATTAATCATGAGGCAAAGTGACTACGGAGGCGGCTCGGAACGAGGATCGATATTCTCGTGTGCGATATTCTTGTTGCGTCTATTTTTTCTCACCAATAAGCTCTCACGCGGTGAAATCCGCGTTAATCAGGTTGATCAATCACTAGATCGGAACGCATTTCTTTCGGCGACTTTAATAACAATTGAAACCTTAATTTGCGCTGAAAGTTTTATTTTTTTTCACAAAGGACTTCTCGATGAATAATACGGTGCGATGTTTTTTAATAATAGTTTTCTTGCTTTTATTTTCCTGCGATATTTTTATAGCTTCACTTAATAACTTGTTAAACTTTGAACGGTTAGAATTATGGCTTCTTGAAAACTCGGAAAAGTGCGGTGTTTTCGATTCCGAGAGTGATGCGGAGACAGTATCGTAAATTCCAAGATACAATTATTCCGATTCATATATTCTTATCAGGCATCTATTTTTATTTCGCCTCCGCCTTGGAGCGAACCCATAGTTCGCGTAAAAATCGAATAGTGTGCACGCTAGAGAGTCAATAATCGATACATCGTGGAGCGGTGCTCCGAAAAGCCGGTGACCGCGGCGCGCGGATTGGAAATTGCAGCGCGCGCGGTGCATCAACCCCCCGCGTAAACCCCCGCGCGCCCACGCCACACGTGACCCCAATGGCGCCACAGGCGGGTGCGACGGCCCTGATACCGCACATCGCGGCGCGGAGCGTCGCGACGCGGCTCGACGGAGCGTGCCGAGGCCGGCCGACGGCGCACGAGGGCGTAGCGACGGGCAACCACGTTTCTACCCTCGTTTCCAGTCCGTCGTGGTGTGTCTCGTCGGTCGCCGGCTCGTCCGACAACCCACGCGCGCTGCTCTGTTTTCTCTCCCTCTCTCTCTATCTCTCTCTGTCTCTCCTTCTTTCTTCTCCCGCCCCGTTTTCCCCCCGACCCCCGCTCACGTACATTTCTCATTTTTTTTAACGCGAGTTACCGGCGAGTTTTGCGGCGGGTCGGTCTTGGCGCTGACCACGTCGCGCGCGTCGTGTGCATTCGCGGCCGTGGGAGTGGAGGAGTGTTTTCAACCCCCGCGTGAGAATTATGTTGCCGCGTGACTCGCCGCCTCGTGCATCGTTGTGTGCGCTTTGAAAAAATTTGGGCCGGG